ATAGTTTTCTTATTTTGTTAATACTCTATCTCTTATTTTTTTTAGGTATACTGTAGCAAATCAAAATTTACTAATCCAATCGTGAAGATCCTTCACAATTGTTATATGAAAATAATTTAAAATAGTTGTTTTTTATTTTATACTTATATGTAGTTTTCTTATTTTGTTAATATTCTAATATCTATTATTCTTATTCTTTTAGATATACTGTAGCAAATTCAAATCTACTAATCTAATCATAAAGAACCTTCATGATCATTACATGATTATATATTATGAGTAATTTTGTATAGATAGTTTTTTATTTTTGTTAATATTCTAATATTTATTATTCTCCTTCTTTTAAATATACTGCAGCAAATTAAATCTACTAATTCAATCATGAAGATTCTTTATGATCATACATGACTATATATTATAAATAGTTGTTTTTTAATTATATTTATAGATATTTTTCTTATTTTGTTAATATTCTAATATCTATTCTCTTTCTTTTAGGTATACTGTGGTAAATTCAAATCTACTAATCCAATCATAAAGTTCCTTCACAATTATTATATAATTATTGTTACAAAAAACTGAATTAGGATCAGACTTTTTAACCAGTCTTATGATTAAATGGTCCCAGTTCTGAGACTGGTTTTTATAAATAACTAATTAAAAATATTAAAAAATTATTTTAGATAATAATTTATTTAAATACTGATATTATATGATTTAATTTTCTCTACTAGTCAACAGAATAGTAAAAGATCAGGTCTATATTAAAAACTAAAACTAGATCAAAAAATATTAATAGATTAGTCTTAATAGAACCAGACTAGCTGAACTGAACTGATCTATCCCTAATATAAAATATTTAAAGACTCTTACTATTTATATCAATTTTTTTGATTTATAGTAAAGTTATAATAAAAAATATCATAGTTTTGTAATTACTGATCTTTTTTAACTTAGCCTTGAAAAATTATAATTAAATATATATAAAAAATATTTACATATCATGTTATATCTATTCAAGGCTGAGTTAGAAATTGTTAGCAATTACAAGACTACAATATTTTTTTGCTAAAACTAACCTGGATTAATATAAGAATCATAAATATATAACCAATTTGGTTATTATATTTTTTAGGCAATAGACCCAGTAATATATTTAGAGCTCAAATATAGTATAGCTTACCCCTACTCTAAAATTTAGGGTATGCATCCTAAAAATTGTATATGTATCTTAAATAATAAGAGTGTATATCCTAAAAAACCTGTCTGGCCTAGATTATACAAAAAAAGACTCTAAATCCTAAAAATAAAGGTCTCATAACATATAATATACCCTAAAAAATGTGTATATACCTCAAAAAATGTATATACCTTCAAAAAATATAGTATATATCCAAAAATAGAGTATATACTCTAAAAATTATATAAAAAAAGTGTACTATATAGTATTATATATATATATGTGCATGGATCCTCCTGTGATAATTCTGACCAAAAATTGTTATAATTCTAGTCAAAAATTAGTATAATGCTAGTAAAAAAGGATAATCTATACTATATTTTAGCCATATTTAGTATTAATCAAGGGAGCAAAGGATACTCTACAAGGTAAAATACAATAGATAAAGTTGATCTTTAGTATAGGTAGACATATTTAATTATTATACAATTATAATATATAAATTAACTATAGTCAAACCTCATTATAGTCACTCTTGATATAGTCACAACCTTGTTATAGTCACTATTTTTTAATCCTAAACATTATAAAACATATAAAATTTGATCTTTATATAGTTACACTTTTTTATAATTACCAAATATTTGTTTCTCAACCTGGTGATTATATCGAGATCTGACTGTATTTTGAACTAATTTAAGTAATTTTATAAATTAACAATTAAATCAATTCTAAATATAATTTTAGTTTGATATGATCTTTTTGTCAATAAATTAAAAAAGAATAATTTAATATTATATATACATATACTGCATATAATTCTATCTATTTACCCTTAAATTATTTTATATATACGTACATATATATATCAATTGTATACAAAATTTGGTATTCATTTTGTGGATAATTTTGAGGATACAATTTAGATCAATTCTGGACCAATTCTGTAAATCTGCTAATATGTAAACTTCTGCTAAGCTTGATAAAAATTAATCTACTTTTTGTTTCTAGAATAACTTTTCTGATTTGAATACTAAATATCTTGAGAAGTTTACCAAAAAGAAAAAGCTTGATCTCAAGAAAAAATATCAAAAAATATCTTTTTCTTAGTGCATCATATATATATAGACTTTATCAACACAGTCTACTTGTAGTAAAACCAAGAATAGTATCTGTTTAGTTACTTTTTTATATTGTTTAGCTATAGTTTTGTTTTGTGTTGTTGACTAGAGAATTGTTAAAAAGAGTTGTTAATTGATTTTGACTAATTATTTTTTAGATTAACAATATTCTTATTATGTATATATTATTTGTTTTTGTTTTTTTTTTTGTTTTTGTTTTTAGCATTTTTTATTTTTTTTAAATATATCTTTATAATGATTCTAGCATAACTACCAAGATTAGTTATACAATTGATATTTAAAATTGATTACAAAATTCTGATAGTTAACAACCTTTCTGATGTTATCCAAAATTATTTATATACAAGAATTTAAAATTTAACAGCAATTAATTAATACTAATAATTTTAAAAAAATTTTTATAATAAAAAAATATTTATATATTTTGCAATAAAGAAATACATCCCTTTTGTAATAAAAAATTATAACATTTTTGATTAGTTGTTACAAGTTGTGCCATTCAGTAATTTGATAAATTGGGTTATCATTATATCATGTTATGCAATTATGACATAATTATTATGACTAAGAGAAATTTTTTGAAGATGACATATCATTGAAAATTACTAACCCACCCACAACTAAAGTTGTGAATCTACCAATTGTTAAATTACAAATTACACACTAAAATCGTTAATAGCTCACCATTGAAATCTTTAACTGACCACTCGCTGTTGAAACCACTTGTCCATCCACTGTTGAAACAACTTACCCACCCATTGTCGAAACAACTTATCCATCTACTGTTGAAATAACTAACACATCTATTGGTAAAATCATGAACACACCTATTAACTATTGAAGTCACTAAAATTTGAACGTATCTACCTATTCATGGGAATCAGAACTATACCGACGCAATTAATCCAACCCGCTTACTATTCTTAGAACATACAAAGTAGTAATATGTTAGTTATGTGCAAAGTAGAGATTATACCCGTCAAGAAAATTTCTATCCGGGTATTATTAAATTATCCGGTTATCCGGGTAATTTATTATACCATATAATAAAAATGTCTATTAGTAAAACAATATCGATCATTAATGAAATATGCATCAAGAAAAGCATTATTAATAATGCATTCTTAGATTGATGCACTGTACAACATTCGTAGCATATTCAAATATCACAACATTTCAAATTTGGATTTTTTGAAGGTTCACCGTACGTACGTACGTACGTACGTATAATTTATCCTTTTTTGGATCTCCTGCAGTATAGGTGACACCTATTCTAAGTCAGTTGATTAATACGTATTCATTTTACTAATGTATCACCTATACTGCAAAAGATCCCATTTTTTTAGTCCTCTTAAGTTATAAAGAACTGATATGCGGTGTACTAAACATGCTAAATTGGTTGGAAGTTGCTATTGAACAAAAATATATTACATTATTTAAGCATGATTCTTTTCAGAATTGGCAAATAATTGGTAAAGGAGGGTTTGGTACTGTACATAGTGCTTATTCAAGGGATACTGAAAAAACTGTAGCACTGAAGAGTTTATATTACGGTGATAATGACATTTCACTGGATGACTTTATTAAAGAAGTAATTCATATATCATCTATATTTTTTATTTACGTTCTTATTTACGTCTTTATTCACGTTTTATTGTATTAAATCTTGTAATGCACTATAAGGTTAAAAACATTAATAGAGTTGCACATCATGATAGTATTATACGTTTCTTTGGAATCACACAAGGTATACTAGATTTATATAATATAAGAATCAACACTATTATTTAACCAATAATTTCGAACACTTTAGATCCGAAATCAGAAGCGTACTATATGGTTCTTCAATTCGCTAATAATGGAGACCTTCGCTCTTATTTACGTGATCATTTTTTAGAGTTAGATTGGACAATTAAAATCAGAATGGCAAAAGAAATTTCTAGTGGGATTAATTGTTTACACAATGCAAATATTGTTCATCGTGATCTTGTAAGATATCTTTTCTACCTAATTTATATCTCGCTTTTATATAAAATATGCATATTAATATTATTATAGCATTATAGGAATATTTTAGTGCATGATGGCAGATTAATGATTACCGATTTTGGCTTATCTAAGTCGTTAGATAATAACACAAAATCTATTGCTGGAGGAACATATGCATTTTCTGATCCATGCTATCTCCAAGACCAATCTTTAGACCAATCTTTATATAAACGAGATAAACCTTCTGATATCTATAGTCTCGGTGTACTTTTTTGGGAGTTATCAAGTGGCGTACCACCTTTTAAAAATATGTCTAATCAAATACAAATAGCCTTACATGTACTTAAAGGTAAAAGAGAAACTCCTATTAATGGGACTCCTGTTGACTTTATGAATATTTATTGCGATGCTTGGAAAGGTGACCCAAATTTACGTCCTAGTATAGTTGACATTCGCAATAAACTAAATAATGTGCGAATGGTTCCGGTTATTCATAATGAAAAAGATGTTAATATAGGAATAGAATACTATAATTTAGAAAAATATGACGATTCACTAACAGATTTAAATAA